TGCATCTGGCCACGCCAGTAGCAGCAGTAGCGGCAGTAACAGCAGTAGCAGCAGGAGCAGTAAAAGCTGTAACAGCAGTAGCAGCAGGAGCAGTAAAAGCAGTAGCAGCAGTAGCAGCGGTAGCAGCGCGGGCAGGGCAGTGCTCACCAGTGGTGGGAAGGGCAGGCGCAAGACGGCGGCGACAGCGGGGCCGCTACAGCTGTAGGGCGGGGCCGGGCTGCGGCAGGGAGCTCCGCGGCAACTGCTGCAGGGCGGGGTCGGGCCACGACGGCGGCTGCTCCAGGGGCCAGGGGCGGCTCCTGCAGTGGCGGCTGCTCCAGGTGGCCAGGGGCGGCTGCTGCAGGGGATGCTGCTCCAGGGTCCAGGGGCGGCTGTAGGTGCGGCTGCTCCAGGGGCCACGGGCGGCTGCTGCAGTGACGGCTGCTCCAGGGGCCAGGGGCGGCTGCTGCAGTGGCGGCTCGGCTGGGGCGACGCGACGGGCTGGGGCAGCCCGCAAGGGCGACGCGACGGGCTAGGGCAGCCCGTAAGGGCTACGCGACGGGCTAGGGCAGCCCGCAAGGGCGACGCGACGGGCGAAGGCAGCCCGCAGGGGCGACGCGACGGGCTAAGGCAGCCCGCAAGGGTGACGCGACGGGCTAGGGCAGCCCGTAAGGGCGACGCGACGGGCTAGGGCAGCCCGCAAGGGCGACGCGACGGGCTAAGGCAGCCCGCAGGGGCGACGCGACGGGCTGGGGCAGCCCGTAAGGGCGACGCGACGGGCTAAGGCAGCCCGCAGGGGCGACGCAACGGGTTAAGGCAGCCCGCAAGGGCGACGCGACGGGCAGGGGCAGCCCGCAAGGGCGACGCGACGGGCTAAGGCAGCCCGCAGGGGCGACGCGACGGGCTAGGGCAGCCCGCAGGGGCGACGCGACGGGCTAAGGCAGCCCGCAAGGGCGACGCGACGGGCTAGAGGCAGCCCGCAAGGACGACGTTTTTTTTTTTTTGTTTTTTTTTTTGAACGACGGCGCTAGTAGGGGCGCTCGACGGCGCTAGAAGGGGCGCTCGACAGCGCTAGAAGGGGCGCTCGACGGCGCTAGTAGGGGCGCTCGACGGCGCTAGTAGGGGCGCTCGACGGCGCTAGAAGGGGCGCTCGACGGCGCTAGTAGGGGCGCTCGACTGCGCTAGTAGGGGCGCTCGACGGCGCTAGAAGGGGCGCTCGACGGCGCTAGTAGGTGCGCTCGACGGCGCGGCGGAACGGTGGGCCCAAACCAACGTCGGTCCTAGGTCCTGACCTAGGCGTCGGATACCATGTTAGAAACTAGAAGTGAACGAGAATGAATGAACTAGGAAAGTTGGGAGTACAAGTATGAAACCCTAGAGATTGTACCCCCTAAGGCTAAACCCACTACAGCCTACACAGCACAAACATATACAATGTTTGACATGAAGATTCGGTACGCCGTTTCATTGTTGCGTGGGCCCGCCATGGACTGGTGGCAAGTTATAGTAACCTCGCCGAGCGACTACGAGCCAGTGACGCAAGGGGAAAGGCCTTCGGGGCTGGCTCACCTGGTGTTCGTTGTGCGAACCCTAAACCGCATGTGGGACGCGTGGTGCGCAGGGCTACGGGCGCGCTTCCATCCGATCACGACTTCGATCTCAGCACGCCATAAGATGCACACTTGGCGACAACTTGGGTCGGTTCAAGATTACACCAGCGATTTTCTCGCGTTATGCGAGCATGTTGGCTACATGCACGAAGCGGAGCGGTTGGATCGCTACGTCGGCTGCCTGTATTGCGCAGTACTTATTCCCGGGAAAATTGAAGGGACAAGAGTGAAGGTTTTCATTGACAGAGGAGCTAGTCACTGATTAGTTGATACCGCGTCAGCAAGGAAACTGCAACGGACACTTGGCCGTTGTTTACATGAGATCGACGCAGGGTTCCGAGTGCGAGTTTTTTTCAGAATCGCGTAGATTTTTCGGGCCACGCCATTTCGGAGGCTGGAGTCGAGATTGACCAAAAAAAGGTTAGACACTGTCAAAGCATGCACCCCCCGATGAATATCATGGAACTGCATAGTTTTTTGCGGTTTCTTAATTGTGTTCGTCAGTTCGTCCCCGACATGGCACGGTTGACGGCCCCACTGACGGACTTACTCCGGAAAGGGGTCGCTTTTACGTGGGGGGAGAAAGAGCATGCGGCCTGTGTGTGGCGCTGTTACTTGACCGGCTCATACGTGATAATAAGGACAGACTACCGCTCACTACAGTACCTTCGCGCCCAACCCCACCTCCAACATTACTGACGCATTGACCCGCCCAACTACCCAGATACACGCGATATTACTCGCCCAGACCAGCCCTCTGCTCACAGGACCATTCACCCACGGCTACCAAACATACCCATTCTTCACCGGCGACAACTGGCAGCAGTCCGCAGCAGCACAGTGGGTGTATTTTGTAAAAGCCGGCACCGATCGCATCTGGGTACCTAACTACACCTTACTGCAGGAAATATTAATTCAGGGGGCTCACGACAGAACTACCTCATGTATTTCCGGGGTCGAAAACACACGAGAGCAGCTGCAGCGGTATTATTACTGGCCTAAGATGCTGACCGACGTATAGCAACACGTGGCATCGTGTCCCACCTGCCAACTCATGAAGTCGTCACGACAACAAACGGCAGGACAGTTGCAGCCGATACCACCCCCAGAGCGTACTTGGCAGCAGGTGATGATGGACTTCATCATGAGGTTACCGGCCGGAGCAAGTGGGAACGACTCGATCTTCGTGGTCGTCGATCGGCTGACGAAATTGGCCCATTTCTCAGTCTGCAAGAATCACACATAACAACACGACTCTTCTTCGCGACCGTCGTTCGCCTGCACGGGATACCAGCGGCGATCATGAGCGACCGCAACACGAAATTCACCACCAACTTCTGGCGGAACTTATGGCACCCGACTCCAATTCAGTTCATCGTACCACCCCGAAACCGACGGTCAAACCGAACGCACCAATAAGACCATGGAGCAATTAATTAAAGCCACGTGCGACGACCCGGCAAAATGGGAGCAGCAGTTGCCACTAATCGAGTTCGCAAACAACAACTCCACGTCTGCCACAACCCAACAATCGCCGTTCTATCTCAACCACGGACAGAACCCTACAGCACCCATGACGCCGAATCTCGACAACCCCGTCCCACGTGCACAACAGTTCCCCGATATATTATAGGCAGCCCGGACCCGAGTAGCAGACGCTATAAAGGAATCAAACATCATCGTCAAGCGCAACGCCGACCGCCGTCGCCGCCACTTATCAACGTGACGATCAGGTCTTACTCGACACTCAGAATCTCCGCCTGCCCATCACACCAGAATTATGCCTGAGATATTGCGGGCCATTCCGCATAAGTCACATGATCCGGTACGTGAGTTTATCCTTCCGCGTCAGCCTCTTTCGCCCCTACGTACCCTCGACAAGCCAACTGCCACGCAGCCGCCCGTACAGCATGACACGACCGCCAACCGAGCCAGTCATGAACCCTGTAAGATGTTGAGTAACCGAGTACGTGACCCACGGGGAGCACGACGCATCAAAATTCTCGTCCGTTGGAGAGACCCTACACCTACCAAGGACAGCCCCCCTAGACAAAATTGCAAACCACCTCGTCCTCACCGAGTGTCTGCGCAGCCGAAACTTCCTCGACATACACGCGCTTTCATAAGAGGACACCCTTGAGGAGGGAGGTAATGTAAGGAAAACACCTTCTCATTGCACTGCGTTACACTGCATATAGCGTACAGGACAGTGCCCGTCACTGTACCGCCAACAGTAGCCCGTTACCGCCTCGCGACCATCGCGCTTAAACCACCAGGCTCGGCTGGTAACCCACGACCCAGCCCTTGACAATTCCCAACCTCGACATCAAGCCCGAAAGGGCACCATTTCGCGAGCGCGTTACCGTTGCCGAAACACTTCGCCTATATAGAAATTCGCTCATGCCTTCGCTCATTGTATTATTCTGCTTCGATAGTGCAATATTCTTTCGCTCACATTATTGCACTTGTAACACCATGTAAACATGCTCAATTGTAATTTTAAGATCAAAATTAGTAAACCTAGTAAGGAAGCCAAGACCATTTTGACAGCGAGGATATCTGGCAAGTGTGGCTCCTAAGGGTGGCTAAAGTTATGGGGGCGAATCGTAGTGGTTTGGAGGAGAATTGAAGATCAAAGACATTAGAATGTACTCGTTGTAGGGCACACCTGTTGTGCGCCTAAGACATGATCAAACACATCGCGTATTCCAGAGTTTTCGAATAGATGGGTTTTCGTTTGACTGGTGCGTGACGCGTTCAACCGCCGTGTGACGCGATCATCGCTTCCTGCTCAAAACAATCTGGAGGGGCGTATACACCTCGACACCATGGCGATCAAGAGTAGTTTTGGTTACGACCTTAAGACGCGGGTTACACTGAGGAACTTTATTTGTAGCGAATCCCAAATTAATCTGCGGAGACAGGTCACGTTTTATATCACCTCTTTTTGCTCGCCATTCCGACCAAGTCATGCGCTTTTGACCCCAGTTTTTGTGAACTGACCCTGCCGAACCCCCCCTCACAATCCTCCACTTACACATCAACTCCCATCCCACCGCATTCCCCGCTCTCTTATGGACCTCCTCCCCCACCACACTCCTGCGTTCCACAACCTTCCTCGCATCGCAGCGGCGTGGTAGCGTCGAGCTCGCACTTCAAATAGCCAGCCCACAGCAGCCATGGAGCCTCGTGAAGTGCCGCTTCTGTGCCATAACCCCCTGTTGTGCCATCTCGCCGTCGCTCTCTCTGCGATACTATCTCGCCACATCTTACTCTGCCCAACCCTCATCGGCGAATCTGCTCCCATATCTCGGCAAGCACTGCCATCCACGATCGCTACCGTCACCTGCGCTGCGCCTCTCAGCCGCGCCTCTCCGCTGCGCCGATCGGTTTTCCGCTCCGCTCGCCACGATGGGCGGCTTTCCGGCGCTGCTCGCGCTGCTCGCGCTCGCCCTCATTCTCGGTCAGTCCACCAGCCGTGCCGCCCCGCAAGTGCTGCTGGTGTGCGCATGCCGGCGTTCTTTCGTCTTCCCTTTGCGTCTTTGTGCCCGCGGGCACGTGGGCGTATTTATTCGCTAGTTGCCCCTCCGGCGTTTTTGGGAGCTCCAATTCTTTGTGACGAGCGTTTGTGTCCTCGAGAGCCTGGCCGCAATCCCTTTTCCGCGATGTAACTCTCTCCGCGTCACTCGACGTGCTCGAGAGCCTCATTAGGATCCGCACGGCACCGAATGCGGAAATGCAGACCAGAAACGCGGAAACGAGGAGTGCGGGCCGACAGACCACACCAACCAACTCCCCGCTCTGCTATGTTCCCCTCTCGTCCCTCCTCTCCCTCCCCTGCAGCGAGTGACGTCATCCGCGGGGCGTCCGGCCAAAGCCTCACGGAGGTGCCGGCGACGCTGCTGGTGGCGACGCGGATCTCGCTGGGCAGCACTTTTACCTTCAACTTCACGGTGGCGCGCTGCACCAACCTGCCGCGCACCAACCTCAGCGCCGTCGTGCAGTGGACCACCGCTCCCGGGGTGCTCCCGTGCAAGAACATCACCCTCTGGAACGGCCCTTCGTGCACTGGAGAGTCCTTCCAAAGGTCAGCCGCATGGCCCCTGTGCGATGGGGTGCGTGCCGTGGGTGGGCCGGGGTGGGGTACGGTGGGGTACGGTGGGGTGGAATTTGTTTCAGCTGACGTCTGGCATTGAGTCTAAACTGGTTGCCCGGTGTGGTGCTAAACCGTATGATAAAACGGGACGTGGTCCAAGCTATGATGTGACCGCATTGTGACCTCCATGGTGGCTCAAGTCCAGCCTTTCTTCTCTCGCGTGCTCCCTGTGCCTCCCCTCCCCGCACCAGGATGACCCCCGACACCACCAAATACAATCTCACCTATGGCTTCTCAGTGTCTGCTCGCTGCAGCATCGGTACGCTCCTTATCCGCTTCTTTCCAGAACCAGCCCAGTCAGTAGAGCGCCTGTCGCTGCACAGCAATTCCCGTCAACAAGCAGTCGCCAGTGAGCAAGCAGCTAATCCCATCCCACCTGTCTCCTCCTCTGCGTGCAGATAACATCTGCCAGTACGCCACGTGCCCTGCTGGCTCCACCTGCACGCCAACCACGGACACCAGAGGCGTCACCTGCGCGTGCAATCAGGTCCCCTATGCCACCAAGGGCACTTGCCAAGGTACGCCACTCGAGTAGGATCCTAGCGCTTCACTACCACCTTCCCTTCCCCCCTTGCATGGGGCCGAAGCATCGCTCGCCACTCCACCTCATGCCCCACAGGACCCTCTCACCCACCTACTCCACTCCCTCGCTTGCTGTGCTGCACGCGCCCCCTCCTCGCCCTCCCTGCATCGCATATCACGTGACGTCTTCCCTGGGGTGGGGGACATCAGCCGGAGTGCCGCCGCCAGCCAGCAGTGCTGTGGACGCCAGTGCGGGGTGGCCCACGGAGGTGACCACCAGGATAGTGGTGGCCACGCCGGTGAAAGTGGGGCGCTACAGCGTCTCCTTCGACCCCTACTCGCGCTGTGCAACCGTGCCCGACGGCACGGCGCCCGCTAATGTCAGCACGCCTGTGAGCGTCCAGTGGAACGCCAGCAGCAGCAGCAGCTCGCAGGGGGGCGTGGTGGCGAGTGCGCCGTGCGTGCAAGTGGCGTTCTTCCGGGGCAGCAGCTGCGACGACAGGACTCCGCTCGACACCATGGCTTCGAGCTCCATGTCAGTTCGTGTGGTGGAGGCAGGCAGGGCAAGGGTAGAGGCAGGTGGTACGAGAAGAGGCGCGATGGGAGGGGAAGGGGGACGGGATGGCATGGATGGCATGTTCTATGGGTTCTGAGCAGGCGGGAACCTTGTGGGCTGGAATTGGATTCGTTTAAATGGGGTGCGATGTGGGAAGCTTCTGGGTTGGTGGAACTTGGAAGTGGATTCGTTTCCATCCATGATGAGGTGCGATGGAATGCCAATGATGATGATCAGTGGACCGTGACTCAAAGCTGTCTGTCTGTGTGTTGCCCGCGTGTCTGTTTTGCTTCCCCCGAGCAGCCAGACGTCCATCACTCCAATCAGTCCGCTTGTGGCTGTGGCCTGCAGAATCTGTACGCCCCTTGCTGCTCTACGCCCCTTGCTGCTCTACGCCCCTTGCTGCTCTACGCCCCTTGCTGCCATTCACCCCGGCCGTTGACGCCACATTTCTTTAGTTTCTTGAGCGTCAGTGAGGGATTGGCAGATAGTGAGTTTCCTGCTCTCCTTCACAACCATGCCGTGCAGATTCACCACGTGCCCGCCCAACTCTGTGTGCCTGGACGCCAAGAACATCAGGGCTGCCACCTGCAAGTGCGAGGACGGTTATGTTGCCATCAACGACACCTGCCAAGGTACTCTGTCTGCCGTGCGTGCTTACAAACTTACCAAGGAGCATCGCTGTGCTGTGCTTCCATAAAACGACTCTGCGCTCCAGTCCTGACTCCCGACTGACAAGCGCTCGGTACGAGCCAACCATGTGTGCTATGCCTTATTTGCAAGTACGACTACTGCTGTAAACAGAGGACCACGGATGATTCAACTTGGGAATTGAAAGCAGGGCTGTTCTTGGGGTATGACCGCTCGCCAGCTTTTCTACCTCGGAGCATTCTGCTGATGGGTTTCTTCTCTCTCCTGACTGACCAGTGCTCGCCTACCAACCATGGGTGCAATGCCCTGTTTGCAAGTACGAGTATTGCTGTGTTGTGTTGTTTCTACCTTGGAGCATTCTGCTGATGGGTTTCTTCTCTCTCCTCTTTCGCATCACCTCCCCTCCACCACAGACAAGTGCATGCTGAGCTGTATGGCCAACAACGCATATTGCGTCAGGGACACAGTCGGAACCCCACAATGCTTTTGCAACAAGGGATTTGAGATGAGCACTGACAAAACTACATGTGCCGTTGGTGAGTATTCCATGTTCAACTGGTATCAAATGAAATATAGAGAGGTGAAACTAGCGAGACCGCAGCAGCTATGGAGCCTCGTGAAGGGACGCTTCGGTGCCATAACTCCCTGTCGCACTATCCTTGCTTGTTTCCATGGCCCCTCTCTTATATTTCAGATAAATGTTTTTCTGTGAATTGTGGGCCCAACGGCAAGTGCATCAAGGATGCGAATGGAAATGCTACCTGTGCTTGCAACACTGGCTTCCAGATGCCTCCCAACAACCTCACTTGCGTTGGTGAGTTGCACGCAGTGGTGTCTGGAGCGAGCGAGCGAGCGAGCCATTGATTGATGGGCTGGAGTGCGTGCATGCATCTGCTCTGCACTTCCCTGGTTCGTTCGGCCTACCTCTTGTTTCATGTGCCCTTGCTCCAACGTGCAACCTGCAGCGAGTGATGCCATTCGTTGCCAATGCCATGTGCCTCATTTCTCACGTGTCATTATGTTCTCCTCCCACAGCCTCCATTCCATTCTTCACCCACTGCATCTCCATTGCTCCTCCTAATCCGCGTGCATTGCAGACAAGTGTAAGCTCGTGACTTGCACGGCCAACTCAACCTGCGTCAAGGATGCGAATGGGGATACAAGTTGCGAGTGCATCACTGGCTTCGACAGGCTTCCGGGCAACGACACTTGCGTTGGTGAGCCCTGCTGGTTGAGTTGCTCTGCTCTGCACTCGCTCAGTCATCCGCAAGGCGTGGTGGAAGTAGCATGTTACGCTGGCCTACACCCAAGACCTGGGGGCAGTGGCATTGTGATGAAGGGGTTAACGGTATGATATTGGGAGTCAGAATCACATCACTGATCGCATGGATGTTTGGGAGATTCGATCTGCCTCTAGTTTCTGAAATAGTCGCCAGGCATGGCGCTGACGATGCATCACTACGTGATTCCATTGTTGTCAAACCTCACCATTTCCTTGTATGTGTATCTATGTGCAGACAAGTGTAAATCCGTGGATTGTGGGACCGGCGGCAAGTGCAGGATGAATGCAGATGGAAATCCGGAATGTACTTGCATCACCGGCTTCACGAAGAATTATGACGAGTGCATCGGTGAGCTCACTTGACTGCCTTGCTCCACTCCTCTTGCTCCACTTGGCCGGTCATCCAGCGGGGGACTACTTTAAAAGCAAGTGGTGCAAGTAGCACGTCACGATTTCATCCAGCCAAGATGTGGGACAGAGACATTGTGAATTGACATGTTGCGTACCTCTCATTCCATTCTTGTCAGTACTCGTGGTTGTCATGCTTCCATGCTTGTCAATACTCATCATTCCCCTCTATGTGTGTATCCTGTTCATCGTCATTCCTTTTTAATGTGTTTCCTTCTTGTTGCAGACAACTGTGATTGGTTTGGTTATGACTGTTGGTCCGGCTCGTGCAAGAAGGACACCAAGGGGAATCCGTATTGTGACTGCGGCAAAGGCTACAGACAGACTGCTGACGGGCGCTCTTGCATTGGTGGGTTGGAGGAGTGCAAGCGGTTGTGTGTTGCGTTCTCCACCTGCCCTGGGAGTTGCTAGGCTCTGAGCTGGAGTTTGTAGCTGAGCGGATTTCCCCTCCTGCCATTTCTTGATTCCGCCTCTCCTCTTGAAGGACTGCAAGCAGAATCAACTTTGTGTCTAAGATGGAAACCTTTCTCTCGCCTTGGTTTTCTTGCCTGCAGACATTTGTGAATTAGTGGATTGTGGCGAAGGCACGTGCGTGAAGAGATATGATGAGGAGGGCAACGGACATGCAGAATGCGATTGCCCCGCGGGCTACCAAGTGGCTGGGAGTGGGCGCTGCACTGGTGAGTTGAAAGGTATTTCTTCGAGACTGGCCTCGAGGCCACGAGTTGGTGGATCCTGGAGCCTCCTCAGATTGGCTTCTCCTCAGCTGAGCTGCTATCATGTATGTTCCACCTGGGTTTCTGTCAGTGCATTCTCCAAATCGTTTCCTTCTCTTGCATCAACTCCATTCCACTGCAGACATATGCAATGTGGTATGTCCGGCCAGCCAAACGTGCAGGAGGAACGGGGACTACATCACGTATTGTACCCAATGGGGTGAGTTCCATACTACCTAGACTTGTACAGCATGTGAGCTCAAACCTCAGTTTCCACAACGATGAATGTGCCAGTGAGCTCTGTTTGAACTCGTCTCAGCTCAGCTTCACGCTCTGGCTTGGGCGCTGTCAAGTGTGAATGGAACCGCCGTTCCTGCCACGGGCATGTGGTGGAAAGAGCTGGAGTGCATGAATGCATCTGCAACCACTGTCATGGTTCACGCAGCCTACCTCTTGTTTCATGTGCGCTTGTTGCAGCCTGCAGCAGTGAGGGTTGCAACCTCATGGTTGTCATCATTTCCTTTTCTTTTCTTTTTTTATATGTATTATTTTCTTTGCAGACTATTGTGATAGGGATTATTGTGGGTATGGCGGCACGTGCAGGATCGATAAAGTTAAGGATACTGAGTACTGTCTCTGCGACCCCGGCTACAAGTTGTCTGCCGACCAGCTCTCTTGCATTGGTGGGTTGGAAAAGTGCAAGGGGTTGTGTGTTGTGTTCCCAACCTGTCCTTGGGAGTTTCTTGGGTTTGAGTCTGGAGTTAATAGCAGATCTCTCTTGCCACTTCAGTGTTGTAGCCTCCCCTCAACCTTGAAGGATTGCATGCATACCGTCTTGCTTCTCAACACTGCTTCTAAGGTGAAATATCTGTCTTTTTGCCTTGGCTTTCTTTTCTGCAGAAGCATGATCGGTGGATTTTGGGCCCAACGGCAAGTGCGTGAAGGAGAAAAACGGAAATCCAACTTGCGATTGCATCGAGAGCTTCCTGCTTCCGAACAGATTGTTTTGCATCGGTGTGTAGAAGGTTTCGTTGACCTGACGCTTGGAGTGTCAGCACTTTGTCAAGAGCCTCGTCGGTACAAGTTGTAGAATGCTCTGATTGCCCTTGCTATGGTCCGGCTTTCCAGGACTGTTGTTGTTTTGTATTGTAAGTGTAATTTATCGTAAGCAATTTCATGAAAGGTGTGTTTTCAACAGCAGTGTGCAAAATTCAGACTTCCACTGTTTTCCCCCTGAGTGCACAGGGTGAACTCAAAAATACGGTACCTCGAAACATAATTTCAGCAACTTCAATATCAGCAAGCAGCCAAAGGTGGCCATGGGACAGATACGGTAGGTACACTGTGTGATCAGCATGTTTTAGGCTGATAAATGAGGGCCGGGGGTTGGGCTTGCAATCGAGGATTTTTATAAGCGCCGGCGCTAATATAATAACATAAGTGCAAGGGGTTGTGTTGTGTGTTGTGTTCTCAACCTGTTCTTGGGAGTGCAAGGGGTTGCGTTGTGTGTTGTGTTCTCAACCTGTTCTTGGGAGTGCAGGGGGTTGTGTTGTCTGTTGTGTTCTCAACCTGATCTTGGGAGTGCAAGGGGTTGTGTTGTGTGTTGTGTTCTCAACTTGTTCTTGGGAGTGCAAGGGGTTGTGTTGTGTGTTGTGTTCTCAACCTGTTCTTGGGAGTGCAAGGGGTTGTGCTGTGTATTGTGTTCTCAACCTGTTCTTGGGAGTGCAAGTCAAAACAATATATGATTTCTATCTTTCTAGGCTATGTAGGGGTTATCCTTAGAGGGTACAGAGGGTACATAACATTTCTCGTCACTCTTGTACCCCCCCCCCCTTACCTAATCAACACTTCTCCTCTCTACTCTAGTCACCTAGTCTAGACTAGATTCTAACATGGTATTCTGAGCAGGTCCCAAAGGACCTATTTTTTTTCTTAAGGGCCCACCATTAGCTTGTATCCTGCCCGTTCGTTCGGCCCCGCCCCACGAAATCGCGACCGTCTGTTCGCTAGTGCCACCCTGCCTAGCGCGATCGCCCTGACTTGCCCTATGCGCGACCCGTACGCGCCCTGCTCGCGCCGCCTGCACGCACGCACGTGCCCCGCCCGCGCCCCCCCGCACGCGCGCTGCCCGAGCCCTACTTGCGCGCGACCCGCACGCTTCCTGCTCTGCCCGCGCACTGCCTGCACGGCCCGCGTTCTGCCCTGCGCGCGCTGCCCGCGCCCTGCGCCACCCTGACCGCGCACCTGCTGCCCAGCGCGCTGCTCGCGCTGCCCGCCGGCAACCTGCGCCCGGCCTGCGCCCTGCCCGAGCGCACTTCACGCGCACCCCGCGCGCACCCACGCGCACACTGCCTGCGCCCTGCTCGTCCGCGCTGCTGCGCACTTCTGCCGCTGCTGTCACTTACGCGGCTGCCCGCGCGCTGCGCTGCCCTGCCCTTAGGCCCGTGCGCCGCCCAGCCCTGCCGAGCCGCGCCGCCCTGCAGCATTGCCCAGCCCTACCGAGCTGCTTTGCTGCTGCTGCTGCTGCTGCTACTGCTCAGCTGCTGCTGTTGCTAGGCTGCTGCTGCCACCTGCGCTGCTGTTGTTGAGCTACTGCTGCCGCCGATGCTACTGCTGCCCTGCCGAGCCGCCCTTGCTGCCGCTGCTGGCGCTACTGCTGCTACTGCTACCACTACTGCAGTTACTGCGCTCGCCCGTGCCCTGATTCCCACGCACCCTACTGGCCTCCACAGCCACTCCAACAGTCGCTACTGCTATTACAGCCACAGCGACCACCGCTACTGCTACAGCTGCAGCTACAGCAGTCGCTACTACCGCCCTTGCGCCGCTGCTACTGACTGCCACTGCCTGTCATGGCCACTATCACGGTCGTAGCAGCGTCTAGGGGTGGACAACAGCAGCCACTGCCTCACTTGGACACTCTATCACCGCAGCAGCTTCGCGAGTGGGTTATTCAGCGAGGCCGTCCTGGTGATGGAGGTTATCGTGCTGGAGGTGCTGGAGGTGCTGGACAGCAGCCGCAGCCCGCGCACCCGGACACTCTCTCGCCACAGCTGATCCGTGAGTGGGTAAATCAGCGCGGCCGTCCTGATGGTGGATGTTATGGTTTTATGGGTACTCGACAGCGGCGGCAACAGCGTCAGCAGAAGACCTTCTCCCCGCAGCGGCTTCGCGACTTTGTTTCTCAGCGAGGCGTCCCTGGTTGTGTAGAGGCTGCACCTCTAGGTGCTAGTGAGTCTGCTGCCGCTCTAGGTGCTAGTGATTCTGCTGCAGCTCGAGGTGCTAGTGCGTCTACCGCCTCTGGTCCTGCCGCAGCTGAGGCCTTGCACACTTTCACACTTGACTCAGGAGCGTCACGTTGCTTCTTTCGTGATTGCACCACAGTCACACCACTCGCAGCACCTGTCCCAGTCTCACTGGCTGACCCCACTGGGGGCCAAGTAGTAGCGCTAGCCTCCACTGTCCTCCCGTTTCCGGCAGTCCCCTCCGCCTCTCTTTCAGGCCTCCACCTCCCCTCGTTCTCGACGAACTTGGTGAGCAATGCAATCCTTCAGGATGTTTGGGTTGATACCTTTATCCCTGGAGGGCAGCGTGTGGCGATCTGTACGTTGCCCCGGACTGGACGTCACCTTGCTACGTTCACTCGGCAGCCCGGGTCCAGTCTGTACACCCTGACCACTGCGTCTGCACAGGTGGCTGCGCCAGGTCAGGTGGCAGCGTCGAGTCAGGTGCCTGCGTTTGGTCAGTTCGCTGCGTCGTGCTCGTGTCGGATACTCTCCCACCAGACTCTTCTCTGGCACCCCTGACTCCCCTTTCTGCCGCGTCTCCGCAGCATGCACTCCCCTCTCCTTGTCTCTGGCCTTCCCAGGTCCCTTCCCCCCCCTCCCGCGCTCGCGTGCCCCGCCGTGCCTTCCCTGCGTCGAAAGGCGGCAGCGCGCCGCTCCTCACTCCTCCTCGTTTCCTCCGACCACTGCTCCTCTGCAAACTCTCCACGTGGACGTGTGGGGCCTGGCCCCCGTCAGTGGGACGGACCAGGAGCGCTACTTCCTGCTGGTCGTTGACGACTACATGCACTACACCACGGTCTTCCCCTTGCGCAGCAAGGCAGCCATCAGCGCTGTTTTGATCCCCTGGATCCGCGCTACTCGTCGTCAGCTGCGCAAGCGGTTTCGGCGGGAACTTCCAGTCCTGCGTCTACACTCTTACAGGGGCGGTGAGTTCTCTTCCGGCCTCCTTGCGGAGTTCTGTCGAGACGAGGGCATCTTCCAGTTGTTCACGCTTCCGGCCTCTCCGCAGCAAAATGGGATTGCTGAGCATCGCATTGGCTTGATCATGGAGGTTGCTCGTACCTCCATGATCCATGCGGCTGCTCCCCATGTTCTGTGGCCGTTTGCGGTCCAATACGCGGCACATCAGCTCAACCTCTGGCCCCGTGTCTCTTTGCCAGAGACTTCGCCTACACTCCGTTGGACGGGAAGGTTGGCGATGCGTCGGCGTTTCAGGTCTGGGGCGCGCTATCCCTTGTTCGCGATACCACCGCGAGCAAGCTCTCTCCTCGCACTCTCTGCTGCGCCTTCCTGGGCTTCCCCACAGATGCCCCGCCGTGGCAGTTTTACCACCCTCGCGATCGTCACGTGTTCTCCTCCCAGGATGTCACCTTTGACGAGTCAGTCTGTTTCTACAGGCTCCACCCGCACGCGTCCCACCCGGTCCCCCTGGCGCCTCTCTTCCTGGTACCAGTTCCCCCCCCGGTAGACCCCCTCCCCCCACAGGGCCCTGCTCCCTCAGGTGTGTCTCAGGTAGGCCCATCCTCGTTGGTTGGGCCTTTGGAGATCTCTTCTGACTCCTCTGGCCCGGGTGAGGGTGGTGACCTTGCCGCTGACGACACGGCGGCCACTCGTCGCTCTCCACGCTTGGAGACCCCTCCTGGTTTTCCGCCTCGACCGTCTTCATCACCTCTGCAGCCTGTAGCTGTGGACATTGGTGCTGCTGGGGGTGGTGACACTAGGGGTGAGGACGCAGGAGGTACTGGTCCTGGGGGTGCTGAGACTGGGGGTGCTGGTCCTGGGGGTGAGGGTTCTGGGGGTGCTGAGACTGGGGGTGCTGCGAGTCCTAGTGGTGGAGGGGCCGTGGGTGCTCCTGCTGCAGGTCCTGGTGTTGGACAGCAGCATCCACTTAGTCGACTCGAGACACCCTCACCGCAGCAGCTTCGTGAGTGGGTCGTTCGGCGAGGCTGCTCTAGTGCTGGAGCTTGGAGTTACCTAGACGCTGGAGCTGCTGGTGCTGGTGCTGGTGGTACTGGAGGTACTGGAGCTGCTGGAGCTGCTGGTCCTGGAGGTCCTGGAGGTGCTGGAGCTGCTGGTCCTAGAGGTGCTCATACTAGAGGTGCTGGAGCTGGTGGTACTGGAGCTGGTGGTACTGGAGGTACTGGAGGTGCTAGAGCCGGTGGTACTAGAGGTACTGGAGCTGCTGGAGCTGCTGCTACTGGAGGTGCTCGTACTAGAGGTGCTGGAGCTGCCGGAGCTGGTAGTTCTGCTGGTGCTGGAGGTACAAGAGCTGGTGGTACTGGAGGTACTCGAGGTGCTGGAGCTGGTGGTACTGGAGGTACTGGAGGTGCTGGAGCCGCTGGTCCTGGAGGTGCTCGTACTAGAGGTGCTGGAGCTGCCGGAGCTGGTGGTGCTGCTGGTGCTGGAGGTACTGGAGCTGGTGGTACTGGAGGTACTAGAGGTGCTGGAGCTGCCGGAGCTGGTGGTGCTGCAGGTGCTACTGGAGGTGCTGGAGCTGGAGGTACTGGAAGTGCTGGAGCTGGTGGTACTGGAGGTACTAGAGGTGCTGGAGCTGCCGGAGCTGGTGGTGCTGCTGGTGCTGGAGGTGCTGGAGGTGCTACTGGAGGTGCTGGAGCTGGAGG